ACAAACTTAGTAACGTACACTCAATATATTTGTAATCAGATGGATGAGCGAGTTCAGGTAGATTCTATCTACACCGACTTCAGTAAGGCTTTCGATAAAATCGATCATAACATATTGATGCTTAAACTTTCTGAAGTTGGTGTACATGGCGATCTCTTACGATGGTTTTCTTCGTACGTTTTTAACAGAACCCAAATTGTGAACATTAATGGTTATCAGGCTAAAGCTTTCACAGTGACCTCAGGAGTGCCACAAGGCTCACACTTAGGTCCTCTGCTATTCCTGATCTTCATCAATGACGTGAAAAAGTGTTTCGTAAATTCTAAATTCTTACTTTACGCAGACGATCTAAAAATATATTCTGAAATTGAGTCTCGTGAGGACTGTGCAAAACTAAATTCTGATCTTCTGAGGTTCTCACAATATTGCGAAAAGAATAGACTATTCTTAAACATAAATAAATGTTTCATTATCTCATTCACAAAAAACGTCAAGAACTTTGAATTCAGTTATAATATGTCAGGTACTATTTTGAAGAGAGTGGAGGAAATCAAAGATCTAGGGCTTATTTTAGATTCCAAAATGAATTTCAACAAACATTACGATTATATAATAAGTAAATGTAATAAAATGTTGGGCTTCCTCACTCGAATTTGTAAAAGTTTTAAAACTCAGAAATCATTGAAATCTCTTTACTTTGCATTTGTTTACAGCAAGTTAAATTTCGCAAGTGTGATTTGGAATCCAGGATATACCGTATATAAACTACGGATCGAAAAAGTACAAAATAGATTCGTAAGATTTCTGAATTTTAAAATAAATGGAACCTATAACATTGAAAATATTCATCTAGTTCGGCAGTCGTTTGGTATTTTGGAACTAGAAAAACGAAGAATAATCACTGACTTAGTCTTCACGTTCAAGGTTTTAAGGAATCATTATGACTGTCCAACATTATTATCATTTTTCTCTATACATATTCCTCCTAGGAATACTCGCAATAATTTCTTTCTCAATATAGATTATCGAAATACAAATTTAGGCCGTAATTCTCCAATTATTAGGTTAAGTAGTAGTTTCAACAAATATTGTAGTATTGATATTTACTGTATATCTTTATTCACTTTCAAACAAAGAGCTAAAAAAATATTTCTCACCTAAAATTCCAAAATTGTTCAACATTTCAAATTTCACTTTAACTATCATATTTTTACTCACTTCATTATAATACGAGCTGTCATGTAAAATATTGTATCAGCGGATACTTTTTTGGGTTTTGAACCTGTTTGTATCCCAAAGTTGTAATAAATGAATAAATAAAAAAATAAAAGAATACTCAGGTATAATAAAACAGCTGAAACAAAAGAAGTCCGCGGGCCCAGATGAAATTAACAATAAACTGGTGAAGAATGGAGGTGAGAAATTATTGAGAAAATTATACAACCTTATAACCCATATCTGGAGAGAAGAGCGCATGCCAGCAGAATGGAAAGCGGTTCTGACAATTTCAATCCCAAAAAGGAGATAAGACAAAATGTTCAGACTACAGAGGTATATCACTACAATGAATGAATGAATGAATGAAACATATTAAATATTGTCAAGACTCACCAGAGAAAAACTAACGGAATACGCTGAAAAGAAACGGGGAGAGTATCAACAAGGGTTCAGGAAAGAAAGATAAACAATTGACGCAGTAAATGAAATATAATGAACAGGCAATAGAAAAATGCAACGAAAACGAGATAGACCTTCACATACTTTTCATAAATTCTTTCGACAGTGTGGAACCAATGGCGGATAAACAGAAGAAATGAAAAGAGAAACAAGAATAAGACAAGGAGACGCCCTATCAACATTGTTCAATATTTCACTGAATGGGGAAATTCAAACAATAGAGGTAAGAAGATCAATTGCACAAAACAGTACCCAAATTGTAGGGTATGCTGACGACCTGTAACAATGAGTTTGAGAAATAAAGAAAAAGAAAAGCTAAAAATAATCGAGAGAAAAATAAGGCTGACAATACTAGGGACCATGAAAACAGAAGACGATGAACTGAGAAGACTAAATAATCATGAAATAAAGGAAGCAATGGATGGTGAAGACATAGATAAAAATTATTAAAGCACAAAGATTACAATGGTACGGACATCTACATAGAACAGAACCGGATAGGATTATAAAAAAGTGTTGTAACATGAAAATTTGCCTTTTCGTGTTCCATAGTGTGAATTCTGCAGATAGGTAATGGGGAAGCTTTGTAGAGATTCACTGCGTAACTCAATGATTTCTTTTCTAGGTTTTGAGGTACTTTACATAATTCCATCTTGTTAAATGTTTTCATTTTCAATGTCCATGACTGGATGACTGGTAGGTTATTTCAGTCCACTTCTTAACCAATCTTACACATTTGTCAGATGCCCATTTATATTGTTGTTTACATCATAGTCTCTTGCCAGTAGAAGACTGTTTGTCGCGTTTAGTGGCAGTGGCCTGTAACGGTGCAGGGATATTCGCAATTTTGTATCGACTGGTGGATCGACTAATGTATCCACTATCGTATCGACTATCGATGTCATGATTGATATTTAATATTTCTTTCATCATCCTTCTTGGTGATTCCTTCTCTTGCGAAAAGGTTTCATGTGTTGAAGCCAAAATGGAGCCCTTTTTGATTTTGGCCTTATACAGGGGAGCAGGGGGTACAGAATAAGTGGATGATATGAACTTCATTTTCTTTTGACCACATGGCATGTTTCTGGACTTGAATTTTATCACTCAATACTGTTAACTGGATGGATCACTAAATATCGAATCTCATCAACTATGGGCATTTCGGAATCTTGAACTGTTTTCTGGACTTCACTGTTTGGGCATCACATAGACACTTTTTTCGATGGTAGAGGCACCTGAGGGATCTTCGTGCTTTGAAGCCTGAGTCACCAATACACTTGAAGGTAGAAGCAGAACCCTGGTGATTTCTTGTGTGAGTCCTCGGGCATCTATAGGACCCGACAGCCTGGAATTTCTGGCAGAATCCTTGCTGCCAACAGTGCAAGTCCCTAGCAGCCCTTCTGGTTCAGATAGCCAGTGATCCCGACTTCTGACAGGAAGTCCAGGGGAGTCCAGACTCCTGGTATGGTTGATGATCCTTCATCCCTAGGATTTTTGTTACTTTGGAGCCTGAACTCCCAGAGCCCAGTCAGATAGTGAGACATCCTGGTCCAGCTTGGATTGTAGGAAGAGCTTGCCCTGGTGGCAGCCTGTGGACCCGTCAGCCAGAGTTGCAGCGCAGCATCCAGTTGCCCTGGGATAAACCAAGTGCCCAGGTCTCCTGGTGGTTGTGACTCCTGTCAACTGTGTGGGGATCCAGTTTTCCTAGCACACCTAACCCCTAACGCCGGCTGAGGGAGGAGTGTCTTTGTTTCATCCAGGTAGTGAGATCTAGTGGACCACAGTTGGAGTCTCATGGTACAAAATCATACATATTTTTTCTCTGTCTGAGGACATTTAACATGTTCTTTTTTTCCTGTCTTGAGGACATTTAACATATATTTTTTTCACTGTCTGAGGACATTTAATATACATATTTTTCACTGTCTAATGTCATGAGATATTTAAACACTTGTCAATAACACATAACAGTCTAAGATCGGATTTTACATATAATAGAATTATTGGGTCTGTTAGAGACTCTGTGAACCCAAAGTATAGGCCTATATGAAGGGAAATCTACCCTTGTACTGAGTTACAATCATAGAACATATTTACCACCATTCTGAATACCTATTGTTGGCATGTCAAGGTGAATGAATCTGTTAACAGTTATTTTGGCTTATATTTATATCTTGGATTTTTTTCTCAGTAATTCGCTGTGAAAACTGAGTGGCGCCTGACAAAAGGATAACCCCACTAGTAAACAATAAAAAGAACTAACTCACGACCTGCTCCCAAACAAACGAGCTGCCGTGCCTATAACAAATAAAAATCGTTTCCCTTTTCAAAACATCAAAAGAGTTGTTATAGTGTTGGAATGAAAACCACAAACAAACAGACCAAGAGGGAGGCCAAAATCAAGATGGGTGGACGAGATATAGAAGGATATGAGAACTATAAGGATAGACAATTAGAGAGAAAAGATAAAAGTGAGGGAGAACTGCCACTCAATAACCGAAAAGGCAAAGCGGCACAACAGCCTGAAAAAAAAGACCAGCGAAGTGATTCACCGCAAGAAATGAATTTGAAGAGCTCTCATGAGCGGTTACCATATGACAATGACCTCTTAAGGTTTTTGAAATATTCAGTAAAATCTGTAAATAAAATTATTCTTCATCGCCATCTCATGGCTCAACGGTGCATTTTCGTATAGAGGTAAGTTGATTTCAGACTATTTTAGGTGTCTAATTCACCCTGTAGAATTTATGGTACGTTGTTCTGGGACATTTTCTATATGTATCGAATCTTCAGAATATCTTTGATCATATAATGACATGACTGGATATATAAGTGCTATAATTGCGAAGTTGAGGTTTATGTATTTTTTTCTTAAATTTTTGAGTTTGGTCGCTTATAACTTTTTTCGGTACCATAGAAAAAAGTAGTTAAGCAGGAATATTATGTGATAATCATTTATATTCAAGATGTTGGCGGTCCCATATCTTTCTAATCCGAAAAAAAGTCTGTAAGGAAGAGGATTTTGAATCGTTTTCCTCTAGACTATTTATCCCTCATTGAAGAAACTGTTAAAAATAGTTCATCCGAGTAATTATCTACCTAAATCACACTCGTGCATCAAAATATTCAGAAAATTTTACATTCAGGCATAATGCCATCCAGAGCCTATATTCGTTCGTTCATTTTCATATTTTGGTTTCTTCGGTGTCGAGCTATTCAAAAAATGAAATCTTGCCGATCCCAACCATAACCTAATTTTGTGAAAATAATGGGATATATCTTCTTGAGAAAAAGATTAAAGTAATAAATAAACCATACTTCACCTTTGTATGCCTACATAAGGACCAGATGGCTTGAAGTTTCATCTCAGGTTCTAAGTTTGTCAAAATAAATCCTGTGAGATTGGACACAGTAATCGACATACCAGATGGAAATACTCTACTTTCTGATTTCCTGTAAGAAAAAGCTGATTTTAAAAATATCACTTGTTGAATCGAAGCTAGCTGAAAGCGATTGATAAAAACTATGTTGAAGAAAATCATTATGGGTGAAATAATATTATTATTTTATTCTTTGATTTTTTTCGATATATCTGTTGAATAAGTCCTGCTTTGATGGTGGATATGGTCGGAACTTCATAACATTATACCTGTTCACCTGGAATCAATTTATCTTTGTAGTTATTCTAATCAAATCTTTTGAAATTGATATTATAAATGTACAATCTGGTAAGAATTAGACCGAATATGATAATTCCGATTTGACCGGAAGTTTGCATTTTCTTCAATTTCTAATGGATAGAACTACTTTTGGAGAAAAACAGAGAATTTGACTAAAATTACTTTTAAAGAATATATCACAAAAATACTGTTGATCTATTAATAACTGATATGAATACTGATATAATTGGGCCAATGCAAACAAGTGCCTTGGGGGTTGGGTGTTTTAAATGGAACGCACCCCCAATTCACGATATTTATTCGGAGAAAGTGAAGTTGCCTACATCAGTTATGATTTATTCGCTGATGAGTAAAACGGGAGCAGTTTGGTTTTCGAAACGTTGAGAGCTGAATGAAAATTCGAAATTGGCCAGAATATATATATTCCTATCCTTCAAACATTTTTCAAAACAAAGTGTCACTGACTAACTTTTTCTTATAGGCTCTTTAATAGTAAATTCATTAAACGCAGTGACATTTTGAGGTACCTACATCGACGATTTGTCCCTACTTCAAATATATTGAATTATTATACTCATTTTTTTTATTTATAGAACCGAAGAGAGAAAATCACAAAAAATATGAACTCTTCCAAAAACCTGTTGAATATTCTGGAAATTCAAATTGATTGTTCAAATTAATCTCTGAAGACAATATATATGAGGCACTCTCACTGTAATAATGTGACGAGCAGTGGAAGTTAGAACAGAAATATTTTCATTGGGCTGAGTTCAGTAGAGGCTGAAGAAGAGTTTGAGTTGAGAAAGGTAGTACATAAATGTATCGAAGTCCCTAAATTAACATGAACTCGATGAGTTATTGAAATCAACAGGTTAATAGAAATGGCGTGTGCATGAATCCACCTCAAGTATTTACGTCAAATTGACTATAATTGCAGAATACTGTCTATCAATGTCCACTACTATCCAATCAACAATGCATGTTCCATCGTTCTGATTGGACTGTACTCTATTCGAATCGCCCGCACGTATTTGTGAGAAAAAGAAGGGAGTTCTGTGAATATCACATGTGTGTTGTAATCTGGAAACGTAAAAGTATTGATGATACCTTGTGGAACTTATCGATCGCTACACAAATCTCCTTTCGGAACCGTTTTGTTTTGTTCCTTTTTTTTATCGAAAACTCAAGCAATTCAGCTGAACATTATAAAAGTACAGCCCTTTGGATGTATACCCTTGAAGATGTAAGTTCTATTCAGGGGTAGGTCAATGGTCAAATGAGGATCGTGTGAGTTCGAAACCTCCCGAACTGTTTTCATGTATCTTGTTTGAGGTTTTGATATTAAATTATGGAATTTAAAGTATTTTGCACAAGATGGATAAATATTCCTGTTGAACTACTACTGGTACTGGTGGGGGACGTTTGCACGTCAGCAACTAGTCCCTAATGGGACCTTTTTGCAAGCCCCACGGTGTTTTCAATGACTAATGTGGTTCGCTTAAGAGAGCTGGCTAACATCCTTTTCAGGAACCACCCATCAGCTCTCTTTCAGAGTTTTTCGGCTGTGTTTTGTAGGCTAGTAATGTACTCACTACCATAGGCTGCGGTGGCAGGCCTGCTAGCTATCCTCGTTAACCCCCGTTGGAGACCGAGGTCCACTAAGCAGCTGGTCCGCTCTCACGCTCAGCTGGTAGTTTTCCACAACCACATCATCATCTCTTTCTGCGTGTTCTGTGTAGGCTTTGTTACTAACTCCATGCGCCACTTTAGGAGCAGCACTGTTAATTGGAACGCAACAACGAATCGTGCAGGACTATCCCCAGCCGATGCTCCGGAACTTTACAATATTTAATTCGTAACTTGTTGAACTAAGAAAGGTCTCGCATTTGTACGTGATAATAATCAGATTTGGAATTACAAAAGTAACACACGACATGTTTCGCTAACACAGTAGCAGTACAATGTACCACTGTATCACCTGACGAAGCTACTGTGTTAGCGAAACACGTGTGTTTGAGAATTTTGTGAAACCATTTTTCGTACTTATTGACGTTTCACTCATTTTTCTTTGTATTACCACACTGTTGGTGTGCGAACTAATTTGAGAAAATGAAGAAATTATTATTATTATTATAATAATCTTATCGTTCGTAAAGATTTTACATTTGCCATGGATTACCCTCAAGTAAATGCCGAGTCAATTCAAAATATTGGTCGGCATTCAGAAAATATTGATTTTGCCACCGAAATTTACTAACAATATAAAGCTTGGATTCATAATACATCACTATCTTGAGTTGTGAGATCTGCGGCGCTACGTTGTCAAATAAACTAGATTTCAGGTTGTCGAATTAATAACATGCGATGGATATTTTTCAGTTATTCATATCTAGCAGGACTTCTAATAACACGTCTGGGACGATCTAAATCAGGCATATCATGACCTACATTATCATTATTACTATGACTGTATCATCATTCAACTGAGGTTCGTCTACAATGGGGTTGTCATTATTTTGCTGGTGATTAGCATTGTTTTCCTGCTCTGATGGATCAAGGGGTGGACTGAGGATGAAATCCATTGTATAATTATTTTCATTTTAGTGCTTCTTTTTTTTTCCTGGATGTCATGTCTCAGCATTCCATCGCCCCTTTTCTCTCGTGCTAAAATTTGGTTGGCGTAGGTACCTTTTCCAAGTTTCAGCTGTGTCCAATTTGCCTAGGAAAGTAGCCTACCTAATTTATTTATTATCCGAGCTTTGCCTTTACATTTATTTTTCTAAAATCTCTAACCAACTTTATCATTGATTCGAAAATTGATATTTTTCAAGTGTATTTGACTTGTGTCATATCTCAGATTGTTCTTTACTGTTGACAAATCAAGTCTTGTTATTGTCTTGTTTTGAAAAACCTTCTCTGATGGCGTTTTGATAGTTACAGAATGAGGTGTATTTCTTATACATACAAAATGCGATTAAGAACTGTTACTATGCTTTCATTTTTGTTAGATGGATCTGATGTACCAGATTTCAATTTCTCGCATTATTTCTACAGCATCTTCTGCTGGGCCATTACACTGAGGATTCTCAATCGTTTTATCAATGCCAGGAAACTAAAGATAATACCTAGCAAGTGCCATGCTTCTGATAATACCTTGGTGTGAATTGTGTGATTCATCAATTATTTGACCATGTAAGCTTGCACGTATAACTTTCCTATGCCCATAAAATGAGCACCTTGTCATACTTGTAAGAAATATTGTATGTTATTAGCTTGGCCACTTATGATGAACATATTTTATGACTGTTGATGAAACTTCATCCATTTCAGTTTGCTTGACCAACTGTTACGGTATTATATTTTTATTTGAGAAAGTAATTAGATTGGAGGGGAAACTAATATTATTAGCGACTGCTTTTATTTCGGTAAGAAACCATATCACTCTGTATACGTTCTTTTCGAATATTGGCATCACGGAGAACAAAACTTTATGTTAGTATTTTTTCTGAGAATATTGTCGGCTTGATTTTGTTGAAAGATTGCTCACAATTACTATTCCAACTGAATTTAACTCATTTTTTAATAGCTTCGTACATAGGTGCCAATATTTGTGATCTTCATTTTCTTTATGACCTAATAAAATATCGTCTTGGAAACAGAACATGTGTTTATGACCTTGAAGAAGTAGCTCAATCTTATTTTGAAAATAAAAGCTAGCACATTTGATTGCAAATGGCACTCTGTTTCCCACATAAAGGCCTTCCTGCGTGCATGCGTATGCATCACCATAAGATCTTCTTTTGAAAATTTTACGTTGCCACAGAGACTTGCATAATTTTGATCAATTTTAGGTAAAAGACAGTAAATATCTGTTAAGAACTTGTTATGTTAGGCTAAGTAACATAACTGCCACAAATTCTCACAGAGTTATTCTTACGTAAAACTGGCACTATACAAGATGACCATTCTGACGTTACTACAGGGATTATTACTCCATTGTTTTCGACGATTCAATCCCTCTTCAATTTTGTCTTTTATTGCGTGAGGAACAGGACGTGGCCGCTTGTGCATAGGAACAGCACAGGGCTCCAATTTCAATGAAATCTTCCCATTCTTAAATTTCCCTAATTTGCCATAACATACCATTGAAAATTCATTCCTCAGTCGATCCCTTGCCCCAGCAGGACAGATTTGTTTTAAATCATTTGAAACTTGGAAAACCACATTAAATGTTTCCATAAAATCTCGGCCTAACAGACAAACCGCTGTTTTGGATATTACAAACATTTCCAAAGCTTTGGTCCCTTCATTGTAACATACATCTGCGTAAATTAATCCCTTAGGTATGATTGCTTCTCCTGTATAACCTTCGAATGTATTAGCAGTACTTAGAACTGGTATATGACTTAATCTTCCCGCCTGAGCATGCGCACTGGTTTGGTGGTAATTACAAACATATCACATTCCTTGGCCCATTTTTATAATATAGTTGATATTTTGTGTACTGTTACTGTTGTTCTTTAAAACAGTGCTACTCTATTCTATTTAAACTACCCAGAACCACACTTCCACAATTGCTGACCATAATAGAGATTGCAGACAATTTAAGCATCGCATAACTTGAGAGACTTTTTCCAAACATGCTTGCAATAAATAATTTGAAACAGTATGAATAAAAGAACAGGTACCGATTGAACAGATTTTTTTTTCACCTGTATCCTCTTGTTTGATGCTTTCTCCGGAAACGTTTTAGGAATTTTCAAATTCAGAGCT